CAATCCATGATAAGGTATGCAAGCTAATTATTGATGGTGGTAGTTTCACAAATGCTATTAGTTCAGATCTTGTGCATGCTTTGTCTCTGTCAACGCGGAGGCTCCCAATGCCGTGTTATATCCAATGGATGAACCAAAGTGGTACACTCAAAATTACTCACAAGGTGCGAGTTAAATTTTCTATTAGAAATTATGTGGATACAGTTGACTGTGATGTTGTAAAGATGAGTGCTTGTCATTTATTATTAGGTCGGCTATGGCAGTTTGATCTTGATGCTACTCATACCGGTCGTTCCAATAATTATTCATTTGCGCACAAGGGAGTTTGTCATGTTCTCAAACCAATGCTTGAGAGTGCTATTAAGGCTGAGGTATTTGTTACTTCGAAAGTGAAGAAAAAGGTTGCTGAAGTTACCCCAAAGCCGAGGACGGCTTTGCTCCAAGAGGGAGAGAATGATGTGACCGTAAGTGCCGGAATTAATGCACCTGGGAATTTATGCAAGGATCCTAAAATTGTGGCTGGTAATCCTAAAATCCCTAGTAAGGGAGAAGAAGATATTGTGATGATTAATTCTCTAGATAATGCTTCTGAAAGTTATTGCAATGGGTCTGAAATAGCAAAGACCGTTGCTAATAAATCGTCTTTGCAGTCTGGCTTTCTATCTACTTTTGAGAAGCTTGAAGGTGGGAAGAATGATGAAGATATAATCACTGCTGAAATGAGGAAGACAATTAAGAATAATCCAAAGCCGAGGACGGCTTTGTTTCAAAGTGGAGAGGATGATGAGCCCATGGCTCCTCAATTTATTAGAGCTGGTGATGATCCATTTTATTTAATCATAAAATTTGGTGCATTATCCTTTGATGTGAAGGGAAGATATACGAAGAAAAATATGCCCAGCAAGTACGTGTTTATTGGTGCTAACATACGTGAGGAAGTCAAGAAGTATGCTGCTACTTTGATGGAGTGGCGATATGTTCAAACTGCAGCACAAAAGGTCGACGTCACATGAACCATTATTGGGACTGAATTCGCTGCATGCAAGTTGCTAGTACGGAGGTTCATAATGCTAATGGTGTGATTTGCATCGTGGCCGTAATATTTTACTACTCCATCCCAAACTCTAAGACGTTTGACTTCTTTTGCTCTAAGTTTGACCACTCGTCTTATTCAAAAAATTTGTACAAATATAGTCAAATTTAAGTCATTCTTGAAGAATTTTTATTAATAAACCAAACCACGACTAAAGAAGTGATATTTTACACAAATTTTTGAATAAGACGAGTAGTCAAACTTGGTGTTAAAAAAGTCAAACGTCTTATAATTTGGAATGGATTGAGTAGTATTTTCTTTATTTAGTTTCCTATAGCTACGTTCTGTCATGTACGCGTGCACCATATGGTTGAGTCGAACCAGATGGTGTGCATTGAGTCTGAGTTGACGTTGAGGCCTTCCTATATTAGGAATCGCCCTCTGTAACAGGAGGGGGGATGGGATTTTATCTGTGGAGTTATTTTCCGTCGAGCCGTCGCTCGTGAAATCCTAGGGGTTTACCGTTCCGGATCCCTGCGAGGATTTGTGTTGGTGTGTGGCCGAAATTGATCCTTGGACTCGTGCTGAAATTGATTTAATTCCCCATCTTCTGATCGTGGTTCGTCGTGGCCGCGGGTGGAAGGATTATCTTAGGGTTTGGTTTGCATTATCTATTGTAAGCTGATCCCTTTATCTGTCAATAATATTGCTACTGCTGTGTTTGATTTATTGGAGAAATTATTTCATTTGTGTGGAGAATATACACAATCTTATTTGGAGCGAGTTTGTTGCCATGAATTTAATATTTGATTATTAGTGAGATTCACGTGTCCTGTTGCTGGCCGTGCTGCTGCTCTATATGGTTGTGCCAGATTACGAGTTGACTGCTTGTGCGAATATATTTCGAGCTCTGAAATTCAGTCTAGCATCTATTGGTTCGAGCCTTGCAACACTTATTATTTTCTATTGACTCAACTGAATCGAACTGATAATTCAGAGAAGCTATAATTTATTCTCGTACCGTTAAAGATTGGGACAGATTATTGGACATCGTAGACGTGTCCTCATCGTTCTTTCCCTTCGAAAGAATTCTTTCTCGTTCTCTCTTTTGGAAGATGCAAATTTCGCTTGTTCAGTGGCTCTAATTCTTCAGGCCACCATTGGTGGTGATGCAGCTCTGTTCCGTGTGCACTTTCTTAGTGACAGAGTTTTCAGGTTCAGTGTATGCTCTCAGGACGTTGGTTTTCATAGTTTTTGAGTGCTCCAACTACAAAGTCTTCTTCCACCTCTGGCATGGTGGGGGTCCAAATTATGCCTTGGAATATCGGAATTTGATTGCTGAGGAACATGCCTCATGGACGTCGGTTAACAAGAAGGCCACTGTCCCTGCATCGTCAAAATCGGTATGTCCTCCTCTTACCGGTGCCAATGCTGTTCCTGTCAACCGTGGCTTCCATGTTTCAAGCTCCTCGGCCATGGAGTTTTCGAATTTCAAATCATCTTTTAATTCAGGCAGAAATTCAGTTTTTATGAGACTTGAATCCGGGACAAATGGTGCTTTTAATCATATATAAATGGTGCTTTTAATCATAGGACCGTTTCTCATTTCCAAGCAGGTATTTTGGGCCCTGTTCCCAATCCCAAACGTGTAACTCCTGGATTTGGGCCTTTACTACGCCTATGCTCCAACTGCTTGTCTCCGGCTCATAGTCGGCCTGCTTGCACCTTTAGCGCACGTTGCCGGCGATGTCTATGTTTTGGGCACGTTTCTGGGGCGTGTAGACTCCCGCCTGGATCCTCGCTTTGTGACCCTCCGCATTCTAGAGTTCATCGTCCTTCTGCGACGCTGGCCGGTGGACCGCTAAGACAGACTGCCCCACGATTTTTTTCACTCGGTCACATTAAAGAAATCAGCGGCATGACCTCCATTCCTACTCCTGTCACCGTCCCCTGGAGGCGGTCTTGGCGACTCCGAGCTCCAGAGTTCGGCGACGACGACGACGACGGTGAAGCAACCTCATCGGAGACCCCGATCTAAGGTTTTTAATTTCGGTATCGCCAAAATTTCGGCCACCACCGAAATTACCGAATTTCACGAAATTCGACCGAAATTTCGCTGAAATTTTTTTAGAAATTAGCACATGAAGTATGTTTTAAAAAAAAAAAATTGGATCTAAACAAATATTAGTATGATTTATGACTACATATCTATTAAATAGAAAAATATGCAATATAAACAATAGAAAAATATAAGATTAGAGTTATATAGCACATGTATTAGTGTATTAAAAAATTTCGGAGTTTTCTTTCGGCCACCACCGAAATTACCGAATTTTGTGAAATTCGGCCAAAATTTCTCCGAAATTTTGAACCCTGCCGATCATCTGCTCTTCGCTTGGTACATTGAAAATTTATAATTGACTTGTCTTCAAAATTTATAGGTTTTGTACTGTATTTTTTCATTGAAACATGTATTATTGATAATTTCGCTATTAAAAAGGTAACATCTCGATTCTTATTGGTTGTTCTACAGCCTTTTCTCTTAGCATGCATGTTGTCGTCGGTTAGCCAAAAATTAATAGTATAAGTCTGCCCTAGGTCATTTCACGGGCTAGATTCGCCACTGATAATAATTTATGAGTGTTCTAGGTGAACATGGTTTATCTGCCAACTGCAATGTTTCAGATGTGCTGTTAAAACCGTGGAAGCATTGATATGATTAAAATCAACTATTACAAACTAAAAGTGAGAAATGCTAATCATGTTGGGGTTTGCTGGGGGTTGAATTGCTTAGGAAGCAGGAAAGTACATGTTTTGTAAGTATAACTATTGACAATATACACTGTGGTGATGCAAGTTTGTTTGAGTTCTTGAAATAGTTGGCTTGATTAGTAGACGGAGACCGATTTTCTGTTGAATGACTTCTAATTCTATCCGTTTTTGTTCAATACAATTTTTAGTATTTTTTTTTTTCTTTTAGTGTAAATCCAGCGGCAGGCTATTGATGCTTACTGTATTGTATTCAATTAATCCTTTTATCTGTTAGACTCTTACTGTCATAAAATGACCATATCAACTCAGGTTAATTCATTGTGTACTGTGGAAATGTTTTTAGAGATTGTTAACACGACAATAAGTCCAATGTCATCTTATAGTAGTGTATGTCTTTGGTGTTGCTCACATCTTTGCATCCTTCAATGACACCTTCATTGTAAGTGCAGTATACGTTGTGTGAAATTTTACAGTGCTTGGAAAAAAGTAGAGCCATCTATTTGGATAGATCGGATGGCTATTAAATAAAAAGAATAAATGTGGAGGAACTTAAGTTGTAGGCTGGAACTAGAAATATATGGTCCGCAACCAAAAATATATAGGTTAGAAATTATTTACAAAATAAATTAAAAGGGTAGAATTTTACTTCCTGCCCCTTTCTCCTGTGCGAGCTTCTCCTTGACGCGAACCTGCATGCTCCTCCCGGAGTACGTGTGCCTCGGCCGCTTGGACGAGTTCCTCCTCGCAGCCTCGCCGTGCGCCATGCAGGCCGCGCAGCAGGTGAGGCCTGGGCCACGCGCAACGGCCGGCCAACAGAACAACGATGCATGCACCTGCAGCTAGCCTGCTATATCAGCGCGTCGTGGCCGTGGTCTCGACATTCAGTTGCCGCCGCCGCTTGGTCACCCCACATCCTTGGCCTTCTCGTTGCCGTGTCATTTCGGTCTGCGCGCATCCGTGGTCGGAGGTAACGCAGCTGTTGCTCGGCCCGCGTTTGGCTGTGGCCGGAGCCTCTGCTGCCACCGTCTGTCGTCTCGTGGGCAGCCGTGGCCATGGATTGGTTTTCTGCTACCGCTCTGCACCTCTGCCAGAAACATCCCAGGCCGCCGGCGACAGCACGGAGTACGCCGTGGTGTCCGGCCTTGCGCAGGGCAGCGGCGAGTACTTCGCTTGGGTGGGCGTGGGCACACCGCCGATGCCCGCCCTGCTGGTGCTGGACACCGGCAGCGACGTGGTGTGGCTGCAGTGCGCGCCGTACCGCCGGTGCTACGCGCTGTCGGGTGGGTGTTTGGCCAGCAGGATCGGTGTGGCACGGCCCCGCAGCAGCGCCGTCGCTGCATTGCCCTACAACAGCGCCGGCCCGCCTCCAGCCATCTCGCTCGCGCCGCTTCACCCTCGCGCACCCCAGCAGTGGCAACGACCTCGTCTCCGGCCCTCTCCCTCTCCACCACCGCGAACTCCTACACGCAGCGTCGCAGCCGCTGCTCCTTCGCCTCCACCAGCAGCTGTTAGTAAGAGACGTCTGTCTTGTACTCTAAGCGGCGGCGAGCCTAGGGCGAGGCGGGCGGCGACCCTAGGGAGATGCATTAGTGAGGGCAGCGCCGACGCGATTGATTAATTTCCCTAATTAATATCTGCGGCAATTAGTTTTGACGGAAGGAACCACCGGTTCCTCCCAAGCACCGTAAAATATCTCGTATGTTGTAGCTGTGCATAGACCTTTTCATTCCATTCCCTAGTTTAACTGTGTCAGGTTGTAATATGCAGCATATCCCTGATTTGTCTGGGAGGGAAACTCTGGTTCGGATCACTGGTACCATCCTAAAACCTTGGTCCATGCTTGACCTTGAAGGCTGTTGTAAGTTTTAACCGTGATGTGCTAAAACCTAAACCATGTAGGTGGCATGAAGGTCAAGGCTGATCGTGATGAGTCGTCGCCTTATGCTGCTATGCTTGCTGCTCAAGATGTTGCACAGCGTTGCAAGGTATGTGTAGTGAAGTCAAGAATTTCATTAGAGGTTCTACTGCAATAGCTCATCGATTTGTCTGTGTATCCAAAGATGATGTTTGCTTAATTAAATTGAAGCCTAGGATTATGTAGGGATACTTTAGAGTTGCTGTATCCAGATAAGTAATTTTTGAGTTGGCTTTTTGTAGTGAAGGCAATAATTTCATTACAGAGGTTCTACTGCAATGAGCAATCGCTCATTGATTTGTCTGTGTATCCAAACATGATGTTTGCTTAATTAAATTGAACCTTAGGATTATGTAGGGATGCTTTAGAGTTGCTGTATCCAGAAAAGTAATTTGTCAGTTGGTATTTTGTCTTCAGGAGCTTGGTATATTACTACACTGCACATTAAGCTTCGTGCCACTGGAGGCAACAAGACCAAGACCCCTGGACCTGGTGCTCAGTCTGCTCTCAGGGCTCTTGCTCGTTCTGGGATGAAAATTGGACGCATCGGTAAGAATTCTGTATCTTTTGAAGGGCCAACTATACTAGTTAGCCCTAATTCATTAAAGTCACTTCAATTATCATAACATAATGCTTTATTGATTCTGTATACTAATGCAACATTTCTGTTATGTGCAGAGGACGTTACCCCGGTTCCCACTGACAGCACTCGCAGAAAGGGCGGTAGGAGGGGAAGGAGGCTGTAGGCGTCTTCTCCATGCTATTTGCCATCCCTTGGCTTTGGCCATCAAGAAGCTAGTCCTCTCTGGGTAGTGTTGCTGTTTCTATGGTTGTCAAGAGGAGCTTTGAAATTTGCTCTGTGTTGATGACCATTTACCGTTAGTCTCGAATCTATGATGTTGCATGGATAATGTTTTTGGCTGAGGAATTGGCTTGTCGTATTTATATGCTACATATATGCGTTTTCACTCTATAAACGTGTATTAGAGTAATCTCCCGTTTCGATGACGTGCAGCAGAATTGCGTTGTTTTGCTTGCTGTCTTGATGACCTGAAGTTGCTTTCTGAAATCGAGTTGCTTTCTGAAAGCGTGTTTCAGCATCAGGTTATGATCGTGTGTTACTGTGTGGAGGATTAATTTCTGAAGAAGATGTGGGCGTTTGCCTGCATATTAATTGAGCATCTCAAGAAAGATTGTTGCAATGGAGAAAAAGGCTACAACGAAAAGCAATCGTGCATGTATTTATTATTATATATTCGACAAATATTTGAACAAATGCAAATGCGAATACAAATGATGCCTCTTCACAGTGCGAGTCATCTCACTGGAGTCACACTGGCAAAAGAAAAGAACACGCCGCAGCGGATCGTCTCAGGCAGCAAGCATGGCGTAACCGATCAAAGCGCCGAGCGAGCCGACGAAGCCCGCGACCACGGAGGCAGCCGCGGAAGGCGGGGGCGGTGTGGTGGAGCTGCTGCCCCCGGCGGCCGGCGCGCTGGCAGAAGGAGACGGCGGGCTCCTGCCCCCGGCGGATGGCGGGTTGGCGGAAGCAGACGGTCCTGGTGTTGTGGACGGCGACGGGGTTTGGGCAGCGGGCGCCGGCGGCGAGCTCGGGTTGGTGGTGGGAGCGGGCGCCGGAGCCGAAGCCGCCGGGGACGGCGGCGAGGTCGGGGTGGCCGCGGGAACCGGCACGGGAGCAGCAGCGCCCGAGGGTGGCGACGATGACGGGCTCGTCGCAGGCGCAGCCGCAGGAGGCGAGGACGACGTCGGCGGCGCTGCCGGCGGGGTGCGGGTGCCGGAGCGGTCGGCGAGGACGACGACGACGAGCTTCTCGTTGGCGCGGCAGTTAGCCTCGTTGCCGCTGACGAAGAAGAAAGGGCCCGAGCGGTCGAACGTGAACAAGGTGCTGCCGTCGTCGAACCTGGCGACGTACGACGAGGTGTTGCAGGCGTTGTAGGCGGCCGCGTCCACCAGCAGCACCGAGTCCGTCTCCTTGGGGTACACGAACACTGCAACCGCACACGCAGAGGAGAACCCGCGTCAGCACCGTTCACCAGCGAGGCAGCGACGGACAGTACATGAGCATGCCGGCCATGGCGACTACTTACGCAGCTTGTCGCCGATCTGGAACCGGAGCCGCCCCGCCCAGGTGTTGTAGGACTCGGAGCCGGCGCCCGGCACGCTCCACCCGCTCTGCCCGCCCACCCTGAACTGCGTCGCGCCGGCCGACGCGGCCAGGGCTGCCACGGCGCAGACGAGCACCAGAAGAGCGGTTGGCCTCGCCGCCATGCCTAGACACAGAGCACACTGGATCGCAGCACGCACCCTGCGGCTCGGTCGGGAGGAGTCTCGCTGGAAGAGGGACTGTGTGCACTTGTTGGACTCTGGATCGCAGGCAGGGGAGAGACGTCTGGTATTTGTAGGTCGTCGTGTCGCGTCGACGCCGCGGGCGGGCTTTACACGGTGTCAGGTTCGTTGGTTTCACCTCCCGTTAACCGCCCCCTGGAGGGCAGGAGCTCTAGCATGCAAGTTACCAATAGCGCGCTAGCAACAGGGCCATGGCGAGCACCTGGTCTGGTCGCGGCCAGTCTCTCTCTCCACGTGACTCACTGGAGGCATCTGGCCGCACCGCCGTGCGTCGTCGATCCGACTCGTCGCTTTCGTTTCAGAGGAGCATATGATCCGTGCCTAGCTGCAATGCACACACATGTGGCAGGGCCTGGCCCGTCCCCTGGAAAGTTCCATGCTCGCGTTTCCAGTGGTCCAATGGGATGTATCCACGGGAAGGGAAACCAACGAAGGAACGCCAGAGGAAAACAAGGAATTGAGCTCGTCTCGTCGGTCGACAGATCATCAGGACATAGAACGCAAGACGATAATAACGACAATCTTTATTTCACAGGATATTAGTTGTTCTAAACTTTATTGTGGGATGGGTGTTGACTGTTGAGAGCACAGCACAGCACAGCACACAGCAGAGCGTGGTACTTCTGCAACCGTGTTTTAGAAGTTATTCGTGACTTGACCTGGCCGCCAGGAAAACGGAGGAGCTCCACACCTGCGCTTACACGCGGAGCCACGAGAGTGGGGGTGGTGGAGACGGAGAGGACCTTTCTTTTCTTGCGAGCTGCCACATGTGACTGAGACCGTGGAAGAGGAGACTCGACTCGGCTTGTGTGTGTGTGGATGAACGAAGAGGCTGCTGATTTGTCTGCATCTCTGACGTGCTGCTCTCAGTCGCGCAGCTCAGTCACGCATGTGTCAGTCGTCAGTCCGAACGGAACCGACGGAGTGGCCGGCTTGAGTTGACGTCTTCTTCCGCTCGTCGCTCGTCGCTCGTCGCTCGTCGCCGACAGTTCCATCAGTTGACGAGCAGAAACCACACAACCATTCAGCAAACAACGCATTGCATGCTCAAATACAGATACCCGCTTGCTGTTCACCGGGCTCCTGTAATTTTTTTTTTCCGAAGACACCGTATTAATAGCAAGCCCCGAATCGAGCACACAAGCCGTTCATTCATGCGTGTACACACATACAGACAGTGATGGTCGGCCGTCGGCGGAGGGAGGCGTCCTCGTCCGGTCGTCCCGTCCTGCTGCTGCGACATATCTACAGTCTGTTCGGGAGGCCGTATTGTATCGTGGATTATTTACTGCTGGCTGGTTTGGTGTGAGAGAAAAACATTGTTACCAGCTAAAAATTTACGATCGTTTACGAGCCAACGAACAGGCTTATCGTGTCAGGCTCAGGCGGCTTGCAGGCCGGCGGGGACGTGCAGCTCGCAGGAGTGGCCATCGCACGCCGTGGCGAACGACGCCGTGGACCGCCACGAGGACGAGCCGCCGGGCGACGCCGCCCGGGAGGCTCTCCTCGGCCTCGCCGCCTTCTTTGCTGTCACGGGCCCGCCTCCTCTCGCGGCGCCGTCCTGGCCCGACCTGCTGTCCGCGCAGGCCTCCGTCGGCGGCGCCGCCGCCGCGCCTGTCGCTGGTTGCTCGAAGTCTGCAGCAGGACAGTGTCAGTATCCGAAGAACGTGTGACGGAAAGCCGGGGTCGCAGAGAAAGGCCCAGAATAGCTCCAAAAACGCACTGCCTGGCCCGGTTGCGCCGAATACAAGTGCCACAACCAAGCTTCATTATTTTGTTCGATGACCCTTTTCAATTGCCTCAAAGATACTACTGTCTCCATTTCATATTATAAATCATTTTACCTTTTCTACATACATAAATTTTACTATATATTTATATATACACTACATCTAGATATCAATTAAAAACTATGTACAAGCATCTAGAAGAACCAAAATGGCTTACAATTTAGAACAGAGAGAGTATAATTTTTGCTCTTTTATCTATGCATGAGGGCGTGGTAAGTTGATAAAGTATATTAAATTATTTTTTCTTATACTATTCCATGATTTCTACCACCTCCATTTTACGAAAAGGGTCATTCTGTTTTTTTATAATAAGTCAAATGATCTTAGATTTGTCTAAATTTATATTAAAAATACAGATATTTATGATTTCAAATAAATATCATCCGATTCATCGTTACTATATTTTTCATAGTAAATCAATGTGTTATCATAAATGTCGAGAACCTTCTCTGTTAGCGCTTGATCAATCAAACATAAGCTACTTTGACTTAAATACAAAACTAGAGTGACACTTTTGACGTAGGGAGGTAGTAGTTCAAAGCCTTATACTCCTATCTTTAATATTTTTCCTATAATTCCAGGTGATGTCTGATTTTTTTTTTGTTCAGGCAATAGCCAAATTTTATCATTGTTTGACTATAGAAATAAATTACCAATTGTCGCTTGTGATTGTTCTTTTAATTCTACAGCTGTATAGCTTGCTCCTGTCTTTTGAGGGAAAACCAGAGCAAAGTGAAATGAGGGGAAATTTTTTTTCCGCGACACCGTCGCATGCAAGCCTATTTGCGGCACCGCTTAATCGTGTTGCTGCAGGTGGGACCTGCCTGAACCATGCAGAGGATGCCGCACGGAGGATTCTATGCGACACTGTCGTATCGTATAGAATTTTTTTCCTGAAATGAGGGCGAGGTACTTACCTAGGCAAGCCCAGGAGATGTGCCTGGACTGCGCAGCAGAGCTTACGATGGATGCTCCCCGTCCTCCTGCTGTCACCTCCTCACCTCCTCTGAATTCATTCATCTGCTCAAAGAGCACAGCCATCAGCCATGCTCAGAATCAGAACCAGAACTCACTCTTTTCTTCCAATGATAGACAGATTACACAAGCCAAAGCCATGAGGTGGGTGTTGACCCTTACCCAGCTCGGACAGGAGTCGCTGGCGCCCAGGCCTACGTGCGATACATGCCTCACGTCTGTAGGGTACCCGATCTCGATCTCATGCTCCCTCTGCACTGCTGCAAGGCCACAGAGATTGAAGCTCATTAGTCATTATATATCAGCCATCGGTTAGAGCTGCAAAGATCCAGAGCTTATCAAAGAATCCTTTTTTTATAAAAAAAAATCTTGGCGTGTTCCATGCTGTTAGGTAGCCAAGGAGGTGAGAGTGAGACATGGAAGTCGGAAGAAATGGCTCTTACTGAATATTTGTGCGATGATCTTCAGACCTCTGAATATTCCCTTCATAGCTATCGCCATCGGCGAGGCCTTTGGCCTTCCCTCTGAAAAACACAGGTTGATCTCTAACCTCAAGCGTGGTTGGAACACTGAATACTGATTACGATCACAGCAGGCAAAAGTAGCTGTGGCTGTACCTTTGACGCTAATGTATCTGAGCTGAAGCTTCCTTCCTTGGGTACACCTGACCCGAGAATGAGGGGGAACGGGAGCTGCTGGATATACAGAAACCCTGGTTCAGAAATGGAGGAGGCGAACAGAAAGGTGGTGACGAGAATACAATGATAAGGAAGGAAGGAGATCTGAACCTTCTATTATATTGACAGCACAGCACAGCTCTCCCTGTGATCTGATTGATCACAAATTAGGTGGGGTTTCCTCTCCCACTTCTCTCCAGCCATTTCTTGAGAACAGGTGTAAAGTCGACACTCGCAGTCCTGTAGCTCCGTACCTCCAGTCCGTTGCGTCACTGTCCCTCATAATCCCTTCTTGTTAGTAGTAATAACTATGTAGTACTACTACTGTTCTGTTCTGCACGATGATCTTTAGGAAAAGGACATACAGTTGTTTCATTGTGTGTGTGTGTGTGTGTGTGTGTGTGTTTCAAGATGATTAGATGAAGATGGATGTGTTTCACCAGCGCAAAACATCGGTTGTACAGTCACTTTCTCACATTAGTGTTATTATATTAATAAGTACTCCTAAGTCTCAAGGGTACGCTTTTCTCCTTTACACATTTAACCTAACACCCAAAACTTTTCCGAGACCATTTTTCAAAAAAGTTTTCTAAGCCCAAGTTTTCAAAAGGGTTTGCTGAGCTCATTATTCAGAAAGGTTTCTCAGCAAGGACACTCTACCAGATCGCTGAAAGAGTGTTGATCTGAATATATAGCCGTTTACATGGATGGCAAACGCTGGATCTACCATATATGCCCTCCAGTAGCATATCATGCAGCAAACTATCCAAGCAGTGCACTGATGTTTCCACCTGTTTATGTTTTTTTAGACGCGGATTGCACCAACTCAATCACTGGATAGAGATTCAGCAGTAAAGGATGGACGCATCGTGGCTAAAATATGTCATGTATCAATGCATGCATGGGGTCTGATGGTCCTATCGATTGATTTCTAATCATCACAAATTACAGCAGCAAATGCAAATTTTTGGATGCTGTACTGGAACAGTGAATAAATTAAAAGATGACTGACACCAACAAGATAATTTGATCCGTGCTTGTTTAGGTCCAATCATTTTGAGTAGTATCAAGTGCGATAGATTTTAACTGTTAAACATGTGAGTACAAAATTTGATTCCTGATGTCAGGAGGCTTTCAGCTGACCGTTCAGCATCAGTGACCAATTCCTTGGCTATCACTCTTTCAAACTTTTGTGCACTAAAATGCGCTTTTCTCATTATCCAATTGAAAGGTTTCCGGTTGTTTCCTTCTTTAAGTGCAGTTAGCTGTTAAATACTCCTATGTGATTAGAGAATTCCGAGTCCAATTTTTAGCTGAAAGTTCAACATCAGCACCGTATTCCTTTATTTTCACTCCTCCAGAATTTGGCTTATTATATCATTTTGACAAGATACTCGCCCCAAAATAATAAACCTCAGATCTTCAGACTCATGCTTTTTCTTGATGACTTTAGGCTTCAGAAAAGTGCAGGTTTAAGGGATAACAGTGTTTCAACCAGGAAATCAGGCTTGCTTTTGCTTATGGCCATGGAGACGTGGCCTTTATCGGTTCAACCTTCAAAATTAAATCAGATCAATAGATAATGCGAAAACAGTAGTGTAAAACACCACAGCAAGCAACTTTTAATGCTGCGGCAAAATTTGCTCTCGTGTGTACAACCAAGGCCTCTCGTCTGTAGGGCACCCAATCTCAAGCTCCCTCTGCACTGCTGCAAGGCCACAGAGATTCAAGCTATGGTCATAGAATAATTTATTCTGTGGCTACTTTGAGTTACGATAATTACCATGCTAATTTACGAGATTACAGTAACTTCTTACTAAGTGATTTACTATAACATTATCGTAAATATCACCGTGAGTTGTAATAACACGAGTATCGTAAATACATATTCATGTTATCGTAAATTGGTACAAATATTATCGTAAATCAAGGTGGCTATAGAATAAGTTATTCTATAACCAGCTGTTGAATAGCCTTACCATATATATATATATATATCGTACTGTTCTGTAGCTGGCCACAGAATAAGTTATTCTGTGGCCACTTTGACTTACGATAATTACTATACTAATTTACGAGATTATGGTAACTCTCTCATAAGTGATTTACTATAATATTATGGTAAGTATCATCTTGAATTATAGTAACCCATGTATCGTAAATGTGTATTGTCATTATCATAAATTGGTATAAACATTATCGTAAATCAAGGTAGTTATAAAATAAGTTATTCTGTGGCCAGCTGCAGAATAGTCTTACCGCATTTATATATATATATATATATATATATATATAAGCTAGAGCTGCAAACAAGGTTTGCAAAGATCCACAGCTTATCAAAGAATTGTTAGGTTGATCTCCACCAAGTTGGTCCAACGGTCAATTGGTCCCTTGATCCGCGTCCTGATCGAGAACGCTCAGCCGTAATCCTGGCTGATGCGCCCCCGTCGCGCAGCACTATAAATAGGAGGTGGGGGCTGGGGCTCAAAACATGAGGTTGACCGTAGCCGCCAGCGCCCCACCGACGACCTAACCCTAGACCGATCCCGAGGGTGTGTTGTGAGCGATGGAAAGCGCCATCGCAGTCGCTAGACCCTCATTGAGTTTTCTAGCCCTAGTCCGATCTAGAGGGCGCGCTGTGAGCGAACGGAAACTCCACCGCCTTCACCGCCGTCACCAGACCGGGCCCACACTGCTGCTACTTCGTCGCCGACGCCATGGCCGCGACTGGAGACTCAAGATGAGGTACATCATCATCAAGTTCTATAACTAAGTAAAGTTTTTACCCGCTAGATCTACGCCTAGAGGTCCTATCAGTTCTATCAATGGCATCAAGAGCCAGGTTAGGTTTAGATCTAGGTCGAGGCAGAATCAATTAGAAGGAGATGAACCAGTAGAGTCTAACCCTAACCCTAGAAGAAGAGAAAGGATTGGAAGGGGGTTTTCCTACTTGGGAACCGCCCGCACAGTCATCACCGCCGGCCGTTGCCTTGACGCCGCGCGGGAAGTCATCTCGAGCCGCCACGGGCGCGAGGACTCACCGCCGTGCAGTCTCCGCCTTGGGCTTGGGCCAAGGGCACCGCCCGAGGGCCCCTCAACGACTGCGCGCTTGACCTTTGGCGAGCGCATGAGCCGGTCGGGAGCCCCACGGCAACGCCATCATCCCTTAGTTAACCGCATCACGAGAACCACCGGCGCTCCACCGAGCAGCGCACACGCGCTCGGGGCGCCGTCGCTAGACCGCTCGACGGCGGCACGCTCACCCTACGGTGAGCGCGCACACCGACGAGGGGACCGGCGGTGGCGCCGCCATCTTTCTCCGGTCGCCATGTTTTTGGTTTGGAAGGGGAGAGAGAGAGAGTCGGTCACCGCGGGGCTGAGAGAGGAACAGGAGTTACAGAATGAGGTTAGGGTTTGGCGAGGAGCGGCGTGGCGCTGGGTTTTGACCCAGCGAGAATGGCGGATGACCGTTCGATCGTGATCGACGGCGAAGACGCGCACGGGCCAGATTTGGCCCAGGCGGGGCGGAGAATTCCCGGCCTAGGCCCAGGTTGTGGCCTGGGTGTAGGGGAGCGGGCACGCGGGCCGTGCGCGGCAGGCCATGGGCCGATTTCCAGTATGGGCAGCGTCATTGGGCCGAGCGCGTGCGCACACTGGCTAGATAGGCCGCGTGCCGGTTTTTTTCTAGGCGGGGCCGAATGAACAGTAAATGGTTTTATTATTTTCAGAAGCAAATTTTGATAAATTTTTATTAGTTTTCATCTCTATTCAATTTTGAACCAACGGGATAAATTGTTCATAGAGTAGATGAGGATGGAGAAATGCTTCTGAAAAGTAGATAAATTATTTTTTCATGTTTTCACTGTAAAGTTTAATGTTTATTATCTTCTAATTAAATTTGAATCAATGGGAGAATTTAATTTGAAGAGCAGTTATATTCAGTAAATTATGATTATGTTTATTCTCTAATTCAATTGAAACCAACAAAAAAATTTAAATTAGAGGAGTAGTCTGATTTATTTATGTTAAATTATGGTATTATTATTTTCTGACCAAAGTTGATGATAACAATATTATAATGAGTTTAAGTTTGAAGTTTAAATCTCTGATAAACTTTACACCAACGTGGTCAAATTTTATAGAGTAGATAAGGACCAAAAAATGCTCCTGAACTAATAGAATATATCTCATGTTTTCGCTGCAATGATGTTGATTATCTTCTAATTAAATTCGAACCAATGAGAGAATTTAATTTTAAAGAGTAATTATATGTCTTTAAGTTAATTTATGAGTTTTATGCATTAATTCTATTTTCTGTTCAACAGTGATGTAGAATTAATGGAAAAGCACCTCGTATGTTTTAACCGTCAAAATCACTCGACTGCAAGTTAATAGGGCTGCAATGCTGGGGTATGTGAATGAATAGGCTTGAGTAAAGCCGATTTAGGACTATTTTTGTTAGTTTATTAATTTTCATATTAAATTAGAATCAATGGAAAGATTTAAATGGAAAATGAAGAATAAGTGAATGTTTTAGTTGTCATAACTAAGTTTTCGTTACAGTAAATTGTGTATAGATTTATCCCACATGGGAGAAGTTTGGCATAGTATTTATACTAGTCAATCATGCATGGCGGGAGAAGTTTTATGATGAATCATATGTTTTTTATCCCACATAGCGAGAGAAGTTTGGGTAGTTCTTATGCTATCCTAATATTGACCATGGCGTAAATAGAAATGCACCGTCATGGTCAATACTAATAAAAAAACAAGAAAAAGATGCAAGCATGACTTACAAAAGTACAGTTAATAAAAGACCTCGTTGAGTTCTTGAAGTGGAATGAGAAAAGTGTACTTCTATATGAATGAAGAAATAACTTTATTTGCATGATACAATCATGTGAATGAAGTAATAGTGTCTCCTCGGTCATAGGTTTTCTAAATAGTTCTCGAAATTATGGCAGTATAGTTTATGCCATATTTCGAGAGGGAGAATAATAGGATCAATTAAGAAAGATACTCTTCATTAAGAGTGAGATAAAGATTAATTAAGATGAATGTGACTGTCGGAGTAAGAGTGAGATAAACATCAATTAAGATGAATGTGACCGTCGGAGGAATACAACGGTCATAATAACGATACTCCTAAACAGAGAAATAGCTAAATTCCTAGACTTTTTATAGTTTCGATAGGAAGATAGCATAGTCAGCCAGAATTCAGACTAGATGAGTCTTAAAGATGTTAAGATGGTGCTTAAAGCGCCATATGAGGTTTAACAGATTAAATCCAAACAAGAGATTTGAAGATACACTATCTTTATAGAAGATGGGATGATCTGGGGAAGCATGGTATGTAGCGACCTATGACTTGAAGAGAAGTGGAACTGCGTGCCCACTCCAGTATTGAAGAGCAACAAATTTCTCAATACATGTTGATGTTGTATGACTTATACAACACTTGTTGTTAACTCTTCGAAGAAGATGAATAATATAAATAAGGATCTTATAATACAGGAGCCTGTAGAATCAATTGCCTCTTAGCAATGAAGAGCAACAACAGCCCCATATGAGAGTGCCAGTAGCGGAGGCCCCAAAAGGTCTCAAAGAATTAGTAAACCAGTTTTCTGATGACTATGAAGTCTATATTAATGAAGAAGTTCAAATGGAGGGTGATCCCACTTCATTTGAAGAAGCAATGAGAAGCGTTTACTCGTCTAAATGGCAAGAAGCTATGGAAGCTTAAATGAATTCGATGAATAGCAACGATGTTTGGGACTTAGAAAAAAATCCTAATAGAGCCAAAACAGTAGGCTGTAAATGGGTCTACAAGACAAAATGTGACTCCAAAGGGAATGTAGAAAGATATAAAGCATGACTTGTAGCAAAAGGCTTTACGTAAAGAGAATGAATAGATTACGATGACAGATTTCTCTCTAGTCTCATGCAAGGATTCTTTTAGAATAATAATGGTGTTCTTGGCACATTATGATTTAGAGTTACATCAGATGGATGTAAAGACGACATTCCTCAACGGGGATTTGTATGAAAACGTTTACATGGCATAACCCAAAGGTTTTGTCATGGAAGAAAAAAAACATATGGGATGCCACCTGTACAAATCTATTTATGGGTTAAAACAAGTCTATAGACAGTAGTATTTGAAGTTGATGAAACGATAAAAAAGTTTGGGTTTAAAGAAAATGAGAAGGACAATAGTGTTTATGCAAAGTTCAAGAATGGAAATTTCTTTTTGCACATTCTGTGTATAGATGACATCCTACTCACTAGTAGTAATGTTAATCTGTCATTGGAGAAGTAGAAGTTTTTGTCCTCAAGTTTCAATGTGAATAATCTTGGTGAAGCATCATTGGTTTTAGGAATTGAAATTCACCTAGATAGATAAAAAGGGGTATTAGAACTATCGCAAAGGCATACTTAGGAAATATTCTAAAGAAATAAAGTATGCATGCGAGTAAACCTACGCCTGCTCCTATAGTCAAGGGTAATAGATTTGGAAGCTTTTTGTATTCCAGGAACCGATATGAGATCGATCAAATCAACATGGTTTCATATGCTTCAGCTGTTGGAAGCTTAATGAATGTACAAGTAAGAACTTAACATGACGTAGTTTACGTATCCGGGATATTTTGGCAGAAGTCCAGTCCAGATATAGATCACTGGAATGGAGTTAAGAATGTCTTGTAATTTTTGCAAAATATCATAGGCCCCATGCTAAGTAAGAAAGAATAAGTACTCTCAAATAGTTGTGGGTGCAATGTTAAGTTTTGACGAGATGTGTAGTGAAATCCACAGTAGTTGCTAACACTCGCAGTTTGAGTATTATTGTGGAAAGGCTCCAATAAAACAGTTTGTGGTGTCATCAATGATGAATACCATAGTATAGCTTGCCATGAGACCTCGGGAACAGGCAAAAGTGGTTAAGGGAATATGTACCTGTATTTAACAATGGTAATCAACAACAATAACCATTAAAAGTAGTTAACTCCTAAGATAATATGGTGTGCTGTCAAACACATTGACATTAAATTATATGTTGTAAAGGAGAAAATCCAGAATTATTTTGAAAGCATTGAGCATATGAGTACCAAGAAGTACTTGCGGATCCGCTTATCAAAGGCTAACCACCCAGTGCGTTCAGGACATGGGTTTATGGGAAAGCCTATAATTTTTAGATACTAAGGGCCTAGTTAAGAATCTGTTTCAAAATAGTGAGGTGCATTGTAGTTGTTAAATCTAAAGGCAACTGACCGTGACGATGAGGCACGCTCTATGCACTGATCTGTGATGGAATGAGAAAAAGATAAAATAAGTTAAGTTTAAGTCATAAGATGAGATCAAAGGGAAGAATGTTAGGTTGATCTCCACCAAGTTGGCCCAACGGCCAATCGGGGGCGCTCAGCCGTATTCCTAGCTGATGGCCCCCCGTCGCGTAGCACTATAAATAGGAGGTGTGGTATGGGGCTCAAAACACGAGGTTGACCGCAGCTGCCAGCGCCGCACCGACGACCTAACCCTAGACCGATCCCGAGGGTGTACTGTGAGCGACGGGAAGCGCCATCGCAGTCGGTAGCCCCTCACTGAGTTTCCTAGCCCTAGTTTGATCTAGAGGGCGCGATGTGAGCGACGGAAAGCTCCACCGCCGTCACCAGACCGGGCCCGCACTGCTGCTACTTCGTCACCGGCGCCATGGCCACGACTAGAGACTCGAAATGAGGTACATCATCATCAAGTTCTATAACTAAGTAAAGTTTTTACCTACTAGACGCCTAGAGATCGTATCAGTTCTATCAAGATTTTTTTTAAAAAAGATCTTGGCGTGTTCCATCCTGTTAGGTAGCCAAGGAGGTGAGACTGAGATATGGAAGATGGAAGAAATGGCTCTTACTGAATATTTGTGCGATGATCTTCAAACCTCTGAATATTCCCTGCATCGCTATCGCCATTGGCGAGGCCTTTGGCCTTCCCTCTGAAAAACACTGGCAATGAATCGGTACCAACTACGAACAGGCAGGACTGGCATGAATCGGTAGATGAATTATGAATACTGATTACGATTCAGAGCAGGCAAAAGTAGCTGTACCCTTCACAGCAATGTATGTATATATCTAAGCGGCAAGCTTCCTTTCCTTGGGTATACAGAAATCCTGGTTCAGAAATGGAGCCAGCAGCAGGCGAAGGGAAAGGTGACGAGAATACAAATGACAAGGAAGGAGATCTGAACCTGTCCCTCAGATAACCCAGGCTAGGTTCATGCTCCACTCTTTTCTGATCGGCCTAGACTTAGCGAGAATAATGGAAGCTCAATTTAGCTGGATTGAGCGCGTCCTCGTACAAGCCAGGCGCACGTTCCATTTATGCAGCGGCTGTTAGGAGTCGTAGTGGCTGTAGTGGTGGCGATCAGCACGCTCCAAGTCGTGGGATGGCACGGCAATGGCGGAGCGTGGAGACCGCATGCAGCGTCATGGCTGTTCGTGGCCATTGTTTTCGCTTGTAATCTTGTGTGTTTAAGTTCATCAATAGAGTCCAGAAAAGTTGCGTTGGTTAGCGGCACCAAAATCTTCAGTGTTCCACTGCGTTCGCGTGCGTTCTTTGAATTTTCAGTTCATCGTCTTCCTCTCCGACAACGGGCGCCGGCGAGCGAGAGACTACAGAACCTTCTATATCGCCAGCACAGCACAGCTCCCCTTACACAAACGTGATCTGATTGATCACAAATTAGGTGGGGTTTCCTCTTCCACTCTCTCCGGCCCGTTTAGTGTCGAGTCCAGCAGCCCAGCAACCCCACCCTCGTCGTCGTCGTTGGCGGCGACAGGATGGGGCGGGGCTCCACGGTTGCTCTCGCAGCAGCGGCAGCAGCGGCGGCGGCGCTGCTGGTGTCGCTGCCGATGCTGCTGATGTCGCTGCGGGCCGCTGACCCGTACGAGCAGGAGACGCGCCGGATGTTCGTGGAGTGGAAGGCCAAGTACAGGCAGACCTATAGATACACCGGCGAAGAGGAGTGCCGGTACGCGGTGTTCAAGGAGAGCCGCCGCCGCGTCGCCCGGGCCAGGGACGCCGGGCTGACCTCTGGCCTCAACGGTCGCAGCGCCACCGCCATTGAGGAGATCTACCGCGGGCACAGGGTATGGATGGGGGAGAGATCGTTCGAGCAGGAGAACCGCCGGATGTTCGTGGGGTGGAAGGCGAAGTACGGCAAGACCTACAGAGACGTCGGTGAGGAGGAGTGCCGGTACAGGTTGTTCAAGGGCAACCACCGCCGCGTCGTCGTCCGGCTCAACCGCCGCCGCCGGGCTAAACCTGTACGGCCTCAACCAATTCGGCGACCTCACCAACGAGGAGGTCCGCTAACGCTGCTACCCGGAGATGGAGAACCGAGAGCTGAGCGCCAGGTGCCAAGCCGCCGCCCCCGACCCGGACCTCGTCCATGGGAGGCTGATCCGGTACCAGGTAATCATCTTGCTAGCTGTTTTTAGTTAGTTTCTTTATTATTATCGTTGTTGTTTCTTTACATGTGGTTGATTACCATTTGCATCAAATCAAATGGGGGCTATGGATTTTGAGGTTGCCAATGTTGATTTTGTTGCCTTAACGAATCTAAGTGCAATTTTACCTCTGTCTAGGAGAGTAAATTTCTCGTGCTCATTGGTTATGTTCAAATCATTATGATTTGTCTATAGAAATATAATTAGCAGTAAGTGAATTGAATCAGGGAGTGAAACCCAACATTAGAAACATAAATAAATGTACCAAATGCAGCAAAGCTCATGATTAAACTATTTGAGAAACTCACACGGAACATCAGTACAATGCAGTAGTTCCGTTAGTTACGTGAAAATTTGGAACAACAATGATGTCAATAACCATGTAAGCATGTCCTGATCTTACTGTGTACTTTCATTCATGACAGGGTATTCTTTAATTTTAATTTTCCAAAAAGTAAAATATTAAAATAAGAAGAAGATTATGTCATGTGCATGGCTGCATGCAGGGGTGCTCCCAAGGCAGCGCATGGCCTGGCACAGCCCGAGGAGGCTGGTGGCTGAAAGGGCCAATGTCATTAAGGCTATTAATAGCAATTAAGGAGCAGCTGAAGGGGCCTCAAGTATGAAAGGGCCAGAGTTTGTGCGCCTAGCAGGGAGCTTAGCTCCTATATATCGTAACCAGCGTCAATGGAATGGGAAAAAGCAATGAAGAAACAAGTTATCTCCTACCTCTCATCTACTTTGTCTTCAATCTCACCTCTGCTGCGGTAGCCAGGCAAAAACCCTAGCACCATTACCTGGCCTTGGAAAACCCCCAAATACTCTAGTCTCCCTCCACGCTGATTTTGCCCGGCCTTCCTCTTGGCCATGGTTATCCACCCTATCCCTCGTATGAACTAAGGTTCACAACAGATTAAGACATGACCAATTCTATATGCTCTTCATCTATATAGCATCAAAATGCTTGGTGAACTTCAAAATCACAAAGCTAGTGCCCAGAAGAAAAAAAACATAATATTGTTGAGAGATAAGCTCCAAATCTGATGAAGAGGAACAGACTTTGAATTCCAATGAACACCCATCGTCCATGGGTATTCATTGGAAGCAACCTTTGCCTCCCATCGTGATGAAATCAACCACTTGCTATTGCGCAGGATTCATCTTTGTTTGCTCAGACCCTGAACCAGGAGTTGGAAGCGCCTTTGCCAGACTTTCCAATTGAACACGATGCGGGCGATGCAACTCGGCAAGGAGAAGGCTGAACCCTGGTGCTACACTACACTACAGCAGAAGCTTTGGCAGTTTACCATGGCTCAATCGACCGATAAGATCCCAAACTAATCCTGGCCAGATGGATAACTGAAGCATGAAGCCTCCGATGACAATGAAGCTAGCCTGACAGAGTGACAGATAATTATAGACATGCAGAAAACAATCCAATCCAATCCAATCCAACAGGGATATGGACTACTGCACCCAAAGAGAAGAAATCCACTTTACGATTGATGATACTATAGTCGCATCGATCACCACACCAAATCAAATCCATCTCTGATAGCACTACTAGAACTATAGAAAGATGCACTCTATTTAGGATGCACCGGTAATTGTAACAATTGAATTACAGAAAAATTTAGAAGTCCATTTAACAAGATAGGTGTCAAGCACGGTAATGATTAAGATAAGAGAAGTTTGCATCACCCATCACATTCACGTAGCACATGTTTTTCTGTCATATAATAATATGTTTTCTTTGTGAGCAACGTCAATTAGTTTTCCTCCATATCTCATTCAAGATTATGGTGTGCCCTGCAACTCCATCATATATCATTCAAGATTATGTAATACATATCAATATAACAATGCATCATTACTTTAAGTGTTGATGGTCATATGAAAGTTATGGTGTGCCTAGCAGTTTTTATCCTCCGGTTGTTTCTTTTCTCAATGTAGCGTTTCAGTGCCACCGGCTAAGCCGGATTCTCTTGTAACTAAAACTCTTTTCTTCTTAAATGCAATGATACGCAGCTCTCATGCGTATTCGAGTTTTTTTTCTAGGAGAATAAAAATATTTTCTAAAACTAAGCATATCTCACACATGATCAAAATATTGCCGTAAAAGCCTAGACCATTGGTGACCCAGCACTAAAGTGTCTTGTATAACCTTTGATGACGAGCTAGAGGGGTGCTGCACTAAACTTGACTGCCTAAGAACGGGGGCTGCCAAGGAGGTAATGACTGCATGCATGATTTTGCCAAATCAATTGGAGAACCTATGTCAGAGTGGATGCACGCATAATATGGCGATCCATAAAGGTAAGCAACAATTTATCCAACCATAACCAGTGGTCGGTTAGCCAATTTAGCACCGAAGAATAGGCACAAAATTTATGCATTGATTCACCTCCATGCTAAGATTTGCACTAAGGGCTTGTTTAGTTCAAAAACTTTTTCTAAAAAGTGCTACAGTACTTATCACATCGAATCTTACGATACGTGCATGGAGCATTAAATGTAGACGAAAAAAAAACTAATTGCACAGTTTGATTGGAAATTACGAGACGAACGTTTTGAGCCTAATTAGTCCATAATTGAACACTAATTGCTAAATAAAAACGAAAATGTTACAGTAGCCAAATTTCTAAATTTCAGCCAACTAAACACAGCCTAAATAACACAAGCCTGTAGAAGACATTATCAACTGTGAGTTACAGTACAGGCTTCTTTGTTGTAATAAAATGCACTGAAGGTCGGACTATAGTCCGTAGGCAGCAAACCTATCCCGCCGGGCCCGAGGCTTCTTAGGCACAAAGAACCCATCTGGGCGGTGCCACCATCTGCGCAGGGTCGAGGAGCCTTCGCCGTCGCAGGATCGAGGTGGAGTGGCGGGCGAGAGGCCATGCGCTGCCCGCGGCTCTCTGACCTCGTGCTAGCATTTCATCGAACACATGGTGGGTGTTGTCTATGTCGAGCTCGAAGCCGAAATCGGGTTCGACGCCGCCACCGGTCCTCCTGACCTTAAGGCTGGATCGCGGGCGGTTGGCGAGTGCCCTGGGTAGGGCAGACGGCAACAGCCGATCAAGCCGTGGAGACATGCGCAGCAGGTGGCGCGAGCCCCTGACGCCGCCGCGGTGCGAGGGTTGAGCAAGCCTCTGCGCAGGCCTGGTCGGTGGTAGCGGCGGGGTTCCATCTCCGCTATCGGGTGCCCGAGCTTGGACTCGGGATTCCAAAGGTAGAGAGATATGTTTTCTTCCTGCAGATCAAATGCATATTTCAATGGTGTATCAGTTTGTAATGGCTTCGTGTGTGTGCAAAGAACTCATGTTATTTTGAGTAGTGCCTCGGTCGGTAGACAAGGGAACAATATTCTAGAGCTAACCACAAGTATGTGAAGATTTTTGTTAACCTCTCTTTGGATATGATTGATTAACCTAGCAGTGCAATTTGTATTATTACTACTAGTACATGGTAACCTGGAATTCCTACAAATTCCCACATGGTTTTACCCAAAGTTGATGTACAATTGTGTGATTCTATTACCGACTGGAGTACATCATGGAAGAGAATCAAGGGTTTGGTTTTATGATCAATGAGTGTTATAGAAAAACATATTCTTTTGATCAAACATGGACATTAAAGTTTCTTGGCGTTTGGACTGAGATAAAGCTTAGCTGAAGAGGGGAAGAAATTATAGTGTGCTAATGCTTGATAAGCTGGTGGATCCATAAGTCGTTTTTCTCTAATGGATGGTCTCATCATCTGCTGTCATTTGACATGATGCTAAATAGCCTCTTGGTCTTGGAAAACATCGTAAATCTGAATCTCGTGTGGATGTTTCTTAATCCTATTGGTACTAGTGTCTAATCATATATATTCTCGTTCATTACTTTTTACTTTTTATATAGGTTTGCCGGTGCATTGCGACGGAACTGAAAGAAACAGAGTCTGGAGGTAGTGCCATTCCTGGAGATGAAGCACACATGTGGATCTGAACGTCACTTGTGTTTGTTGCTGGAGAATTTTAGAAATAAAAATATTGCTAATAAAATATGGTAAATTTGTTCTTACGCTGTGCTCTTGGGTGATCCATATCACCAAACACCCTGGAGGTTTTGTTTGTAGAGGTGATCGGCAACTTACATGGTGGGTTGAGTTTGACTCTCTTTGTATGCGCAGGGGCTCTATGGACGCTGTGGAAGACGAGGAACGGCGTCATCTTCAACGGCAAGGTGCTGGCCTCCCTGAAGACAATTATCCACAAGACAATCTTGCTGGTCAAATCGTGGAAGCCACTTCTCAAGCCAAAATCCCAAGATATGGCAGATACAATTCAGGGGAAGCTTCAGCGAGGCCTGGCGGAGGCGTGATAAATTTGTTCCTGCTGCTGTTGGAGTTGTTTCAAAACCAGGATGTTTAGTGTTTTTTTACCGTTTCCGTTGATCGTTTTGAGTGGTGTTTGATAGTCGATGATAGTTGAGAGGTTCTGTTTAGATTGGTCGTTGGGTGTAGTTGAGAGGTCTTTTGCTGGGTTTAGGTTTCTTAGCCTACCCCTTGTTTCTCTAGCGCTTTATTGTAAACTGGTTTTCCCAGCGTGGATCGGGGTCTCAATTGTACGCTTTCTAATCTAAAAAAATATGGTAAATTTGAGCCTTTGATCTAAAAAAATATGGTAATTTTGAGATGAAAATGTGTGCATTTCCAACCTATGATAAAGATTGGGTGTTTTCTTCTGAATAGTTGTGCATGTGGTATTGGGCTCGCTGGCCATGTTGGTGCCTGTGCCAGTGGGATACAACTTTTCACTGGCCTGTAATTTGTCATGTATCAATGCATGGGGTCCGATGGTCCTATTTATTTCTAATCATCACGAATCGCAGAAGCAAATGCAAATGTTTGGATGCTGTACTGGAACAGTAAAATTGACAAGATGACTGACACCAACAAGAACACGTATTATTTTACAGGCTCCTACGTATCCCGGAATGGGAATTAGCCTTCTCAACATGCTTCCTTCATTCCCTGCCTTCCCTAATATCAGACCACACCCCGCTTCTCCTGCAAGGGGACATAGAGCACTACCAAAATTCAACCTTCCGATTCGAGAATTTTTGGGTGAATATGGATGGGTTCAAGGAGATGGTTCAACAGGTTTGGAGCAAACCGGTCCACTCTACCTTACCTCTCAAGCGACTGAACACAAAATTGGCAAGGCTAGCAAAAGGCATCAGGAGCTGGCGCAGAGAGAAGGATGGAGACACGCGGCTGCAGTTGGCCATTGTTAAAGAGGTCCTGTTACAATTGAAAGCGGCACAGGAGAACAGACTGCTCATGAACCAAGAAAACGAACTGCACCGACGCTTAAAAGCAAGGAGCACCGAACTTGCAGCCATAGAAAAATCCAGGATCCGGCAGCGGTCGAGATTGGCATACATCCGCAGCGGGCAGTGGCGGATGCACGATGCGGGATAAGGGGGGCTAAAACAATGGAGATGTTGATTTGCATGAAGATTTAATGGTGAAATCAAGCTTTTACTACAGTAATTAGGCTTGAAATCAAGACATTAGGGGGGCTGGAGCCCCCCTAGCCCCCCCTTTGGATCCGCCACTAGCAGCGGGGATGCGAACACAAAATATTTCCACATCAGGGCCAGCACAAGATTAAGGAAAAACTACATCCAGTCTCTACACATGGATGGGGGCGTGGCAGTTGTGCACAATGATAAGGAAAAAGTGGTGACCGATTATTTCTCAGACCACCTAGGCTCGGTTACACAGAGGGGGAGGACCTTCAATTGGGAAGCGCTTGGATATGTCCCAAGAGACCTATCAGCACTTGAGGCACCGTTCATGCAGGAAGAGATCAAGGAAACGATAAACTCCATGCCGTCTGATAAAGCGCCAGGTCCGGACAGATTCACAGGACTCTTTTTCAAAACCTGCCGGGAAATAATCAAGGACGATATCACAACGGCAATCAACAGCATATTCTCGCTGAATTCCCAAGGTTTTGAAAGACTAAATTCAGCGAACATCATCCTGCTCCCAAAAAAACGGATGCCACGCAGCGTAATAGATTTCCGTCCCATCAGCCTGATACACAAAAAGGGTCTCTACACTCTTAAAAATCTCATCTTCCAATATCATTTTGATTTCATTGGTCTGCAGGAGACTATGGTTCAAGATTGTGAGATTTCTTTACTTAGAAAATTTGATATCCTTCAAGATTATCTCTGGGAATGGAATCCTGCTAGAGGTAAATCTGGGGGATCTTAGTTGGGATTAATTTAGCCAAATATAATGTAGGATCCTTCAAAAAAGGTGATTTCATGATTCAAATGAATCTATGGGACAAGACCAATAAGGTTAAGTGGAACTTGTTAGTGGTATATGGTGCTGCTCAAGAGGAGCATAAAATTGAATTCCTGTCTGAGTTGTCAAGATTTTGTGATGCTAACTCTGATCCTATTCTTATTGGCGGAGACTTCAACATTATAAGATATGCAAAGGAGAAAAGTACAAATAATGGGGTTCATAGACATACTGGGATTTTCAATTCGATTATTAATTTCTTTGAGCTCAGAGAACTCATTATGAATGGTGGGGTTTTTACTTGGTCTAATAATCAGGACCCCCTACTTTGGAAAAGCTAGACAGGATTTTGATCTCTAAAAGTTGGGAAGATATTTTTCCTCATGCTATGGTCAGGAGACTCCCTCGGGAAATCTCATATCATAATCCCTTGATCATTTCAAGTGGTGCCCCTAAAAACTTTCCTCATATCCAATTCAAGTTTGATGCTAATTGGTTTAAGAATCCTAATTTTTTCAAGTTGTCGACAAAATCTGGACTAAACCATGTAGGGCAAAATCTGCCCTAGATAAAATTCAACAGAAATTGAAGCTTTTCAAGCAATTCTTTAAGGGTTGGGGCTTTAATCTTCAAGGAGAACTTAGAAAATTGAGAGCAGCTTCAGAGTGAGCTCTCGACACTAGAAGAGTTGGAAGAAAACTGTTGCCTTTCCAGTGAACAAATTGTTAGGAAGCATTGGGTAATTTGTGAAAACCTTAAACTGCTTGAGCAAGAAGAAATGTATTGGTTCCAGAGAAGCCATGAGACATGGCTGCTCAAAGGGTACCTTAATACTCATGTTGATGCAAAAGTGGATCTGCAAACACAAAGGGCTAATACCCGAATCGATATCCAAAGCGTGCCAGTCGATTTGACCTGTTAATCGACAAGGATGAAGATACGAGCACTTTGGTCCTGACAACAGCGATACGCCCGGAAGTCACGGCCAAGAGGTACTCACGCGGAACTCGAGAATCGCCGAAGGTCGCACTGAAGCGATGCAACTCGCCGAATCAATGAGAACTCGTAAAAAGGAAAAAAATATGCAAATTGACGAAGTCGCCGAAAAGTAAGTAGATACAAATAGGAGTAAAAATTGGTTTTGATATTGATTGATCTATATTACATTGCCCCTCAATCTATATTTATACCCTGATCTAAAGAGACATAACCAAATACGACTAGGACACCAAGTCCATATCTAAGGAAACACGTGACTCTTACATGAATCATACTCTAACAAATATAGAAAAGGAAATCAACTCCTATCTATTTCACTGTCCGCCTCAATTACGATGGAATTCTCACCGACCTCCTTTCCATCGGCATACTTCCTGTTTCATCGGCAGTAGTTTTCAAGCCTTCCTTCATCGGCATCGACACTAACATCTCCAACCTTATCGGCAACGCCCGAGTCTAAATCAACCTTTCCATCGATCACCACCATTCATCGGCAACCATCTTTACAAGCTGATTTTCATCGGCTGTCAGCGTATACAGTAACTTTCCTCCTGCCGATTAGCCCACTCTAATCATTTTGACACGTGCAAAAAACGGTGTCAACACATGCCCCCCAATTTCGGAGTATAAAACCATTAATGCTCCAAAATTTACTCCAGATAACGTTTGCCTTCGCCCAATTACCGTAACTCATCCTCCAAGCCAAAACTTGATCTGTTATCAAATCTAATCAAATCTAGTCCTGATTCACGCACCTCAGTAAATATCGCACAATTTCCAACCACTCTTGCCCTGATTATGGTTAAGATACCGAAACAATAATCCATCGGCAAGATCCTAACATAATAATGCCGCCATTTTCAGAATTAAAATATCCTGTACCGAGATCTCTTCCAAGTCATGATTACTTGCCATCAAATCATCTGTACAATCCCTTGATTATCGTGCGAACAGTTACCATATCCATCTGAACCACCTCGACCCACATGCGCGCGGCATAGAGATAAGTCCAGAATACCCCTACTCCAAGCGGCTTATAAATAGATTTCTCCGGAACGCTCGTCTTCTACCCTCAGACTCCAATCTTTGGCATTCTCTCTTTCCGGCGGCAACTCTGACGAACAACTGCGCGACCTCAACCAACAAGAACTTTTCTCTAGCGTCAACCTCGAGTCTCCAGCTCGTGCCCCCATCTACCTCAAGATAATGGCAATCAACTTCGACGTCCCTGTGGTTCGTTCCACTTCCGTTACTTTTTACCTCGATTCCTCTGGTCTTTGCGAGTTCATACAGTTGGTAATTTTTCTCTTTTTCTTTGTTCTTCGGATCCTCTAAACTTAGGAACTTCGCAACAAATTAGTTATTCCAACCGATCAGCCGCATTTCCAATGCCTAGGACCAATGGGCAACCTAGATCCAACTGATCTAATTAATGCAGAGGTTAACAGAATCCCTTTTAGAGCCCAAAATTTCTCTCTGAATTTATGGAAAGATACATTCCGATCTTGGCCCAAAACCACCAAAGAGTGGAAAGATTGGTACTTGAGGGTCAACAGGTCGATGCAAGTACACTGGATAGAACGGAAGCTAGACCAATGCATTAGGCTATCCATTGCCGATATGCAAAAGAACGAGTCAATGATGATTGCAGCTGCTTACTTCTGGTCAGACACAACAAACACTTTTATGTTTGGACATGGCCCAGCTACTCCCACACTTGCTGATGTCTACATGCTCACTGGCTTGGACATTTCAACTGCCGATGAAGGCTCCATCTATGGCAGAAAATCTGAATATAGGGTGAATACCGCAACATCGGCGGTTGGACGGGATATATTCAAGAATGCCAGAGGACCGGGACAGTTAACCAGACGGAACATGCCACATTCTTGAATATGTGGTTAGAAAAATTTATCTTCTGTGGTCGATCAGTAGGACCAACCAACGCCTTCCTCCCCGCGGCTGAACTCTTGGCCAATGGTGTAAGGTTCCCTCTTGGCCGATACCTTCTGAGCTCCACTTATCATCTTCTTCATCAAGTGTCTCAGAAACTTTTGCT